CAGCTTCTATATTGCTATTGGAGCTCCGCTATTAGGTGTTACCTAATTTTTATATTATGGTTTTAAGCTATCGAGATGGCATTTGGTCTTGCCAAGACAGACACCATGTGCTGTTGAGGACAATCTTCTTGAGTTCAATCATGAATGTAATTGTCTATTCTCTAGAGTAATTCCTTTTGTTTCTAGTGACTATGGTTCAGTGGTATCAATTTGGCACAATTACTCAGTATATAGAGACTTTTTTCTTCAATTCACAGATCAAGAGCATTTACTGTAATGATTGTCAATTCTTGTAAATATTGTGTATGAATAAATCAAAAAACCTATTGTTGCACAGAGGTTATTATATTGAGTACAAGTAGTAAAAAGATTTCTCATAAGTTAGCAAAGTGCAAAGTGACATTTTCATGGTTAGTCTGGTTAAATCTTATCCAAGCAACCATGTAACATTTGATTATCATATATTACCCATGAAAACAAGTTTTCAAAAGTAATAAATATACAATGTAGGTATTTCATGGATACTGGTAATGGCTTATTTTAAATATCAAAGAAATTACACCAATCTATAAAATACRATTTGCAGGAAAAGCTTGCTTTCAGCTCACAGTTTTATATGTCCATAAATGTCTCCCTCTCATATTTTGTATATTGCTTCAAATGCTTAAATTAAATCAATTACATAATCAAGGTCCATAGGTTGTGCCATGTTGTATCAAATTTGTATAGTAAGAGAGTGTTAACCAGTATGTTTTTAACTCTGAACTGATGGATCCACCCAAAACATCACAAGTGGCAGTAGCAAAGTATTTTTTTAACTGGTTTTCAAAGCAGTTAGAAATCCAAGAAAAATAAATAGAAGTATTGTAATCATTGTAATTATTTGGACAATGCAAATGAATCTCTAGGTGGTACAAAGCACCAAATAAAATCGTTTGACCATTTGTCTGATTTGAAAATTGCAGGTATCCCCAAAATGCCTTTCACAAGGTTTAGGGCTAATTGGTTGGTATTTTTGTAATGAAATTTCCAGAAAGAAATATCCATATACCAACTCCCTCCTCCCTCCCCCCCCCTCCCCCCCATATATGCCTTCATCCCCAGGACTATGGCAATTCAAAAAACCACACTCTGCTTAAGTGCTTGTGTTTGTTTCAGCATCAAAGAAATCTAAATACCTCTTATGCCTTTCCTATAGAGAAGTTGAAAAAATTTTAATCCAGCAACAATCTCATGGTTTATCTGKTGAATGTGAAAACATTTGATGAGCATTCAACAACAATGTCTATTGCTACTTGATATTGATATATGTTTTTAATAAAGGAAAAAATGTAGTAATCTAATTAATCAAATACTACAAATTCTAAAACTGTAAACAATATGAATAAATATTGAAAATCAATACCAATTAAATCAAAAAAATTTCAATAAGGAACCCAAATGGTGTGTGCATAAAAAATTAATTGAGACAAATTAAAGCACTAAAAGTCTAAAAATACATCAATATACATTATAAAATTACTATAAAAAGGGCATTGATTGGCACAAAGAATCATGTTTCAATGAGAGCAAAGAACTTCAGCTTTCAAGCAAAGAGTTCTTGATATTTTAGAAGAGATTTTCCGTGTTTCCATTCTCTGACATCACATCAATCCATTGTTTTAATAGTAATTATTGTGGTCACCAGATGGGGACATATTGTCAATAGACAAAGCAAAACAAAATAATATGTCACTTACTGAATAAAGACGAATGATAGCAAAACATTATAAATAATGTCAGCAAATCATTGTCAAATAATAGATTTAAAACAAGAATTTTAACTTTCAAAGAGATAGGAGATTTGTGCCAATTCCTATTATTTCTGAGAGAGATTTAAACATCCTGTGACGTCATAGCGAAATAGGGCAATTACGAACTGACATTTTATTGGCAAACTACTGTTTTAAAACTTAGAAATAGCAAGCTAGAAAATGCATTTCTACTGTACTAAGATCATTGGCATATCTATGAGGAAACAAAATTTTCGCTTTTGAAAACAAAGACTCGATCTAAGTATCAGTCCGATCAAAGGTTGTCGATGATATAATCGAATTACAAATGTTTAGTGATACTTGCCTTAAACGTTATTTTCAATCTATACGCTGTTCCCTCCTTTATTGTTATAGACCTATCCTTTAATTTGCTCAGATCACCTGGACGTGCATGGAAAAAGAACAAAAACTGTCAAGAAACGAATTCCTTTACCTTAAGCTTAATAACTTTAAAATATTAACTTAAAATAATAACATTTTGAAATACGCAGCAACTTCATGCAAAATATCTCACATACCTATTACATCGTGAAATAAGAAAGCAGTATTATTGCAATTCTTATTTTAATGTCTATAAAAACTCTTATTAACTCACCAGTCAGGTCGATTTCCACATCTTCGCGACCATCGACTACAATGGATAGTTTCTCAACCACTACATTTGGACCCTCACCTTTGAAATGTTCAAATCACACTTAAATATATATCAATCACATTCAAATACAGGAAATAGTTTTTAAAACAGACCTTTGCTAATATTCGCATCGCCAAGAAGGGCCTGCTTGTATCTGACTAACGACTCGTCGTCAGCATCGAGTTTTGAGATTTCATCGAGTGTTTTTTGAGCTGGAGGCTTGTAGCCAGGAGTCTGCTCTGGTTCTTCATCATCAATTTGATCCACTGACGGTACTTGTTCCTCTTGTGACATTGTATTCTATCAGAAAAGTCAAACGATCCTCTGTTCAGCAAGGAAGTGAAGGGCGAACTTGGAGCAAGTTAAGATGGAGTACCACCCCATGACGTCATAGCACGAGGTTACATGGTGACTAACGGGGGAGGGGGCTGGTTAGTTCTTTGCTTCCTTGTGGGCTCCCTGTTCAATTCCCAACTATAATATATTTTTCTAGATTATCTTTTTTTCGAAAGAGAATATCTTCTTGGAATACGTTTTGAGCAAATCAGAAGCATGTCTATTGTAAAGAACGAATTTTCTTTCTGATGAATCAGCTGCCTGGAGGACAGGGAGCCCACCACTAAGAACGTGCCTGGAGGACAGGGAGCCCACCACTAAGAACGTGCCTGGAGGACAGGGAGCCCACCACTAAGAACGTGCCTVGAGGACAGGGAGCCCACCACTAAGAACGTGCCTAGAGGACAGGGAGCCCACAACGGCTGAGAGGAGACTACTGCCTTTATGGCCAACAAAAAACTGAACAGAATTTGACTATAAATGTGCAGATTTAGGACAATAAGAGAATAAGACAATAAGAGAATACTATAAATCAAAACGGACATTTTAGGGTCGAAAATAAAACCCTTGCGCACCTTTCAGGATCCTGAGCTGACTCCGTACCTTTTAGAGTCTATTGTCGAACAAAATGAAAAAAAAATCTTGAAGAAGTGTTAAAAAGAAATAGATTTTATTAACCTCAACAACCATTTCTCTTGTTAAAGACGGCCAAAATGGTCGTACCTTTTATGGTTTGGAATCGATACCTGAATCAATTTATGCATACCCGTTAGGGTCATTTTTCAATCCGTCCATCAAGCATACTACCAACATTTATAAGAGAGCCCCCCCGGATTTTATCGAACAAACGGGAGATTTTTTTATTACAAGCATTCTCTTGGATGAATGACAGTCTGGATGAACACACAACAAACACTTCATTTCGAGCCTGGAGTTTTTGACAAAAGATAAAACTCCAGCCTCGAAATGAAGCCATTGTTCCGTGTTCATCCAAGCAAATGCAGGATTGGTCTATTTTGAGACTTGGAGTTACTATTCAAACTTGGRAGTTCCAGAGGCATTATCCTGGTCAATTGACTAAGCCCTGAAATATTGTTTGATGACATTCAACACCCAGTTCACCCCCCTAGATTCATCCTATTTCACAATATCAACAAGTGCACTATGATTTCCTTTGAAAAGTTTGTTTTTATTTATCTCAAACCACAGTACAACAGAGCCTTTAAATACAAGAGATCTTGGATGTTTTGTGATAAACATGAACAATGTCGCTACCTTGAAGCTAACTGCAGTGAACTGTCCAACTGAGTCGATAAYTTTATGAATGCAGTTACTGTATAGCAGTATATTCAAAATTCATTAGCTTAATAAATGTCCTACAAAACTATCTAGAAGATACACACTCAATAACCTTAAAAGATTATAACAAATTAAAATTATAATTTTTTTGAAATCATTTAATTAGAAATCCTATTTTTGAAGTTTGTCCATATTTAAATAAACATTTGTTCTCGTTTCAACAATGAAAGACTAAAAACTACAGGCTACACTTGAGAAACTGAACAAAATTGTTTCAAAAGCAAATTACCTTATAAACACAATTTACTCAATTCAAAATGGTTACCAAAATATAACAAAACAAACAAACAAACAAAAAATGAAAAGAAAAAGAAAGTGTAGCACATTAAAACATAAGTGATTGTGAAGTCTCCATGTTTTTTTAATCACAAGCATGTATTAGCTTGTGTGTGTCTTAAGAACTTAATTTCATAAAATTTTGAACTAATTTGCTGTTAAAACAACCCATAGAACAGGCCATGTGGAGATTGTATTGTCTTACAATACGGCGATAAGTAAGGAGCAAAACATTAAATAAAAAAGGGCACAATGATGTGAAGGATAATGAAATTGTTGTTTACAATTCATCTTTCTTAGCAGCGTCTTCAGTAGCTTCTTCTCCGGTTTCTTCTTCTTTAACATCACCATCTCCTTCTTCTGGTGGGATTTCCTCTTCTCCTTCTCCCTCTGGTTCTGGTTCCTCTCCCTCCTTGGGTGGTTCATTACCTTCTTTACCACCAGATTCCAAGAATTTAACAAAGTCTTCTAGAGTTCTGCCTCCATTGTAATCAACAACCTGTTGAAATATAAGCAGATTTAAAATTAAAGACCATAGAATTGAAGACTCAAATGTTCCATAGGAAATAATTGCATGACTAGAGTAATTTATTCATTAGCACCACTGTGCTTGTAGTACATGTATCTGCAGTATAACAAAATAGCAAAGAAGTGCTCAGCACAAATTATAACTACTAAATAATTTGATAATATTGAGTAGAGAACTACTTACATCTCCCTCCTTGGGAAAGAATTTGATTGTTGGGAAGCTCTGAACTTTGACTCCCTCTACTTCATTAGCTGTAGAATCCATTTTAGCAATAACAACATCCTTATTATCCTTGAATTTTTCACCAAGTTTGTCCCAGATTGGTGCAAGCTGTTTACAGTGACCACACCATGGAGCATCTATCAATAGAGAACAGTACTGGTGAAACAACCAATCAAATCACCCACATGCCYGTCAATCATCCAATCAATAATAACCAATCAATTACCCAGTTAATAATCAACCAATTACCACAGATAGACCAATTAATAAATTGAACAATAATCCATAATTAACCCTTTGATAATCCATTATTCAATCAATTCTATTGGTCAATCATCATCAATCATCCAATCAACCAGAATAAGTTGCAGTGAGTATACAATGTTGTAAATGAGAAGTGCTAACACTTTGCTGTTGTTAACAGTCTTTGATATTTTGAGCACTATCCAGTCATCTTTATCAAACCAACCAATCAGTCAATCTAAATCATTACTTACAGAATTCAACCAAAACATCCTTAGTTTTATCTCTTGCTACTTCATCAAAGTTCTTTCCTACAAGAACCTTGACTGGTTTGGCATCCCAGTCTTCTGGTACGTCTTGAGTTAAGAGATGGGGCTAAACAACAAACACATGATATATTCATTAACAATAACATTTTCCTATGTTACATGGTGTTTTAGAAAATGAAACTTAACTTAGTGTAACCATTGAAAGATATAAATTGTTCAGAAATAGGAAAGTCTACCCATAACATATTAGTATGCAAGGTGGTTAATGTAATTCAATTAATGTATTGTTTTTTTTAAAACAAATTCACAAAAAAATGAGAAAGAAGAAGCGAAAACAAACAAATTCAAAAAGATGCCAAGCAAAAAAAATAAATATAAAATTCAACTATTGCTTAGCTATACCTTGAGTTTGCCATCCAAGAATCCCTGGACAAACTCGGTGACAACTTCTGAAGAGATCTCTGGTTGTGTTGGCTTGTATTTAGTCATGTCATCATCAGCAAGGTTGATAAGACGCACAGTTGGAAGCTCTTTGGTCTGAATACCAAAGAATTCCATGATCCTTAGGTTATCCTCAACCTCTGCATTAACAAAGACAAAGAGAACTTTGCCCTTGAAACCCTTGGCAGCGCCGGCAAAAGCTTCATGGTTRGCTTTGAAGGCATCCGAGGTCTTGTTGTCAAAGAAGAGGATATGGTGCTTGATGTCACCTCCAAAAATCTTAGGTGCAGTCTACAACAAAGAAAAATTGAATATTTCAATGTGACTACTGTAACAAACAAATTGATTCCTTCCAACTAAGAGAGGCATTTGGTCTACAAGGCTAAACATGGCATACAAGGCTAAACATGGCATACAAGGCTAAACATGGCATACAAGGCTAAACATGGCATACAAGGCTAAACATGGCATACAAGGCTAAACATGGCATACAAGGCTAAACATGGCATACATGTGCAGTTGTAACACTTCCTCAATAGAAAGCAAACATGCTGTGAAAAAGTACCAGACAAATAGTGCAATATGTAGTAGATTAGACAATAAAAAGACAAATAAGATACATCACTGGATTTCTGAAATGCCAACCCTTGTAGGGGTATAGACATATTCTGGAACAACCCAATGCATTTAAGTATTTAAACAATACTTCTTCTTGACTATATAATGCATTACGATAAAATACTAAATAAGAAAGTGGTAATTCAAGAGAAAAGGATGGGAGAAAATGAACATTTTATTTCCCTTTTGTGTCGTTGGTTCTCACCTCATCACTAAATTCAGTAACAAGAGGAAGTTGGTTGGCACGGACAAACTTCTGGATCTCATCTGCATCATATTTACCATCATAGTCATTACGTCCCTCGTCAAACTATTAAAAAGATAAATGGATTGTGAGCTTATTAAATGTTTATTGGCAGAGTTTTTAGTAAGGCTGCATTAGAGGACTGAAAGATGACACCACAGGAAGCCCAGTCTGATATGATTTGTGCATGTGCTCTAGCTATGAAGCCTAGAAACATTTGATCTCTGGAATTGCTTGTCTGTAGCACTGACTTGATGGTGATCAAGTTTCATATGCATTGATTACTTGACCATGAAGTATTTGACATAATAAAATAAATGTAGGATGGCAAATAATAACTGATCTCACCATTGAATGGTTAAATGTAAAGGAAATGTCTATTCTTGTAAACCACAAGTCAATTCATATGGATAATTCACCATTACACACCTTCTTGAAGAGAACAACTTTGTCACCCTCAACTTTGTGTTCACTAGCAATAGCAGCATCAGAAACCATACCAAACTCAACATCATCAATACCATCAGCTGCATTGGTGAAAGCTTTGGCAGCCTCAGACTCTTTGTCAGCAAAGAAACCGATAACAGCCACTTCTTTTTCAAGGAATGTCTTGACAGCATCAGCAGTTTCCAGACTAGTCGCTGGTGGACCAGTCTTTTTCTTCAGCCAAGTGACAATCTCTGACTCAGTTCGTCCACCTGTAGAAATATATAATATGTTAAAGCTGAATGTTTTTGGGGATGCAAAATGAGCCCTTGTACTTCCCCCCATAACTTGAGTTTTGTAATAGCTAAATAATAGAAAAAATAGATACAAAACAAATAAAATAAACAAAAACCAAAGTTCACAATTTTCAATCTTAGGTGTGTATAAACAGGTTTGGCTCTATTCAGCAGCTGAAAGTCTCTCTATTGCACAATCTAAACAGGCTACTAAGAACAATAAACACTTTCTGCCCTGCTGATCAAATAAATGGTTTTTGAAGTGCACTTACTGTATCAAAAACCTATCAAATATTCAATACTTATTAAAATGACTGTGAAAATGTTTGTAAATTTGTCACATTCACTGAATTAACCATACAGTTCCAAGTACTTATTACTGAAATATTATTTATGATAGTCATCCTTAAATATTTGTCAATATACAATATTATTTTGTATCTAACTGGTGAGAAAGTTTGAAATCAAGTTCCTTTTTGTCAAAATAACTATCACACCATCAACATACTCATTATTTTAAGAACAAATTCGCAATTCTCTACATTTTCTCTCTATTTGAATATTGTTTGCAGTATACCAAACAGGAAATTTAAACCTGTTGATTTTCAATTTATGCAAAAATATACATAGCCAATAAATGAACAACAAATCATTTAACAAATAATATCTTAGTCTAACATTTAATGTAGTTTCAATTAAAGATGACAAAAGTTAACTTAACAACTGTAAGAAATTGCTATAACGACTGGAATTAAAAGATATAGAGCTAAGAATAGTTTACAAAAACAGTTGGAATGCTGAGAATCTACTAGAGTGCCAAAACATAACGGAAGATCTTGTTTTGAGAAATATGTTCAAAACAAATCAAATTTTACATTATTCGGAAATATAAAAACAATGTTTTTCTTTATCTGGGAATCTAAGGGAATGCGAAGATTACACACTGAACACCAAAAAGACAAAAAATAGGATTGGACTTTTCATTGCCTAACATGACGTGTCCCATTTCGAACCGAAATTTGCTTTGGTCTCATTTCATCACAGTCAAAATATGTGTTATACGCAAAACAACAGATTTGCTTTTATTTTAATTTGACTGCATCTTGCGAGGTTTTTTAAACAATTTAATTTATCAATGATTTAATGTAAAAAGCTTAAACGTAAAAAGTCACTTAAGACTACGTAACCAACGTCAGGTACAAACAAAAAGACAATGATGTGAAGTGTATGCAGTATATCCAACTAAATAGGTGAAGATAGAAGTCTTATTCAGGAATATAGAAAGTTGGTTTGGCTATTTTCACTGCTGTGGACAATCAATACGATCACTGAGCTCACTATCARCTATCAATTTCTCATGAAGAATTGCAAGAAATCTTGCACGTGCAAACTACGACTCGACAGAACGAGCGGCTTTCAAAGAACAATTCTTGGGTTTACCTGAATATTCTGTAGGCTTGCCGTCTTTAAAGAACTTAATGGTAGGATAGCCTTGTACTTTATATTTTTCTCCGAGTTTTGTCTCTGTTACAGCGTCTACTTTGGCCAGTTTGATTTCTGAGCCTTCTTTCTTTAACGAGCCGGCTGCTTTGGCATATTCTGGTTCTAAAGCTTTGCAGTGGCCACACCACGGAGCATCTGCAATGCAATATAATTTTTCAAGTAACATAAAACTATTTACTGAAAGGGATCTTTTTAGCATAAATACTTACAGAATTCAACTAAAACATGTTTGTTTGCAGCAATAGCTTCGTCAAAGTTAGCAGACGTTAAGACTAAGACATCTTTCTCTTCTTTAATCTCTTCGCTGTGCGTAAGAGCTAAAATGGTTAAAACAAGAACGACTAAAGGCTTCATTTTGCTGTGGTTTGAGCAGGGAATTTCAAAGTAATGGCTTCTCTGTCTTGGGGAGCGACAAAAAGAGGTCGATGGATGTCGAGCAAGAACCGGAAATCGACGAACAACCACTCGTGTAGTAATCTGATTGGATGATTTCAACAAAGCTTGGTTGGGAAACTGGTCACGGAAGTGCAACGCAAAGCTGTCGGTTTTTGATTGGYCGTTCAAATAGTCCAATTTGCACAAAATACACGTATTGTTTTAGCAAAAAAATAGTTTATCTCTTGAAATGTTGCTGTTGACAACACATCTCCTTGAATTTTTTTGGAAAGACGCAGGTAGAAAAATGCATCAAAATGATCAGAAACTTCATGAGATAGAAAATAAGCAGGTTGCTAGGTAAAACAGCTTGACTCTGAGTTCTGGCATCAGTTTTTGCGCCATTTTATAACCATTCATGCAAATCAAAAGGAATATAAAGTTTGATTGTCACAAATTCATTAAAATTTTTGATCGATTCATTGAAGTGTCACGCAGTAGCTATAGGGAATTTGTAGTTCAATCAGTCATGTCCAACGATCTTGAAAAGAAGGGACTGGGGAATGTACTGTAGTCGGTGCTTACGGTGCTTACGCATACTATTGACTAGTCTGAAAATTCCAGCGCAAGCGGGCGCAGCAGTGGGCGGATCTAGGGGTAGTGCGACGGGGTCCGCTGCACCCGGTTTTTTTTTTTGTTTTTTGTTTTTTGTTTTTTYGTTGTTTTTTTTTTACGCCATTTTTTTAAGGTTTACATTTTTGTGGATAATATATTCATTGAAAAATATATTTTGTAAATTTTGATTAAAAAGATTACAGAAATTTTAATTTGGGTTGTGTCCTGTTGTTATAGCATGTTTTTGGCGTCGTACTGGTAATTTGCGAAGCTGAAGTATTCCAAACAGTTCGAGCCATCACCATTCCTCGAMCAACTGGATGGACTACCTGTGTTAAAAATCATGTTAATGACGTCACAGCCATCTACTGTTTTGAAAAACTCTGGATCCGCCACTATATAGCCTGCGGAAACTATGTGTAAATCTATTGTCTATTCCTAGGAACGAGGCTATTATTTTGCGCTTGTTATGAAATTTTAGAATAGCTTGTCGATAGACCTTTTCGCGGTTTAAACCATGTCGTGCAAAACAGTCCTTAAATGAACAAGTCATATCAAAATTATGACTCTGTTTCACCAACAAAAAATATTGACATTGCAAAAGGATAAACAAGCTCAAAAAGGACGAACTTTTTGTTTTCTAACCGCGAACAGTTCGAAAAGGGCTATTAAAAAGTGAAATTTGAGAGTGTTTTAAAACTTTGCACCAATGAAGCAGTCTTTCGTATAGTTTTGCACTCGACAGCACATTGCGCGTTTTTGCGGCGCATGTACRCCAATCAGACCGGCTATAAGGATGGAAAAGAAAAGTAGAGATGAAAACCCGGGGGGAAGAATACTCCCCTGTATTTGCTATATGGGTATGTGTCGGTATAGGGTATGTTTTTTTTAAATTTTAGGAAATAGAGTATAATTCTTGACCATACCATGTTTGGCAGCATGAACAAAAGATGTTTGTGCCGAATCTAGAGCACAATGCAATGCAAACTGCTATCTTAGAAAAGGCCTATACAGATTAAATTAATCAAGAAACGATTCCAATGAAAACGAAGGGAATAGTACATATTAGTATATTTGCTGGAGTTTAAGGTATTCAGACAAACAATTACAGAGTGAAAAGCCCTCATAGACGCTCATAGATCGCTTAAGTGGGCCTTATAAGAAAACAATACAGTGTGACATTTCCTAGATTCGGGACTCAATAGGATACAAAAACTTATGCACACATGGTTAGACAATATCAATACTCAATAATCTGTTCATGCAAACAGCTAACGTTCAGATGGAACTCTGAACTCTGATGACCTGTGAGTCGGCTTGAAAAGGCTGAACTTTCCCTCATTTCCTCGTCTGTTGATATTTGCGATCCACTTCTTTCTGAGCTTTTTGTCTTTTGGAAAGTTATAAAACTTTAGATGGCGTTGTTTCTTGTTATTATTAAAACAAGTGGGAACACAGCAAGAAAAACCCGGCATTGTTTTGAGGTATTGTTTTCAGGTCATTCCCTTGATTGCCGTCATTGCGAGCATGTACTCAGTCTCCCAGGATACATTGCGCGCTCAAAATCCAAGATGTCTGCCGCGCACATTGGCTATTTCCATGTAGAAGCAGTTTTAATTAGAAATATGAGCTTGGGCTTCCTGTGCTCCTATTTGAAGCCTTAAAACAGTCGCAGAGAACAAAACAACAAAAATATCTACAAGCAGCAATAGAAACGGTCTYCCACAGGAACTCCATGTAAAAAGGTGAAGTGAGTTTATGTGCATCCAACAGACTCAAACTAAGAAATAGCACTATTGTAGTATGCCTTTCGTTACAAAATACACCGACGTGTGAAATGTCTACACGTACATTATGTGAAAAGACAGAAGATCGACCCTTCTTGAAACTCAGAAACCATACATGCATTGATGATGAAGCCAATCTTGTTCCTATTCTCTTTTTATTAATTCATCATCAATCGTAGAATAATTTTGTAATTGTCCCCTCGTGTCATTATTATTTATATTCCAATGTTTTGATAACATATAACGTGCCTGATTGTCTTTTTGGTGGACAATAGAATAATACAACGTTATATACCCACAACAAAGTTCACGGATCGCGATTTCTCGAATCYACTTSAGTGCAAAGTCCAAAACATGAAAATATCCATTGTAATATTGATTAACTTTATAAGTGAATGGCCACATGACTACAGTACATAATGGACGGAACTGAAGATACTGGCTTAAAGAGCTGTTGAAACTCTTGAAATGATAACTAGTATGAAGCAAAGAATACTTTAATTGCAAGGCAAATAGGAAGGAAATCATAACGGTTTTGGAACTGAAAGAGAATACTGTTAAAAAAAATGAAGTTCCGCAAAGAGGAATAATGTTTGAAATTATTGAAGAAAGCAATACTCACTGTCGCATTTAGAATAAACTCAAGATGTTTTTAAGAGTTTAATTATCATCATTTAATAAAAACTTAGAGACGTCTGAAGCTAATGGACGAATTCAAAATATTATGGATTCCATCTATAAATGCATTATACTTATGCCAAACGTGTCTAGTGTAGTTTACGCGGGCATATATCATGTGCCGACGCCGTGCAAGGCTTGATCGATCAGACGCGAAAACGATGACGGAAATATAATAGTGTTGCTTCGTTTTGAAAATCCCATGATATAATATTCTCTAAATATAGATAATATATTTGTTGTGTATTGAGTAATTTATTCAGGAGAACATGAGATCATACATCAATTTTACCGGGAAGTGTGACTCTTTCTCTAAAAACAATAAATACCTGAAGCTTATTAGAGTGAAAATCAATAAAAAACATATCCCGACAAGAATATTTTGTCTGCGGTTGGGTTTGTTTCGGTTCGGTTTAAATCTTTTAGTTTCCAATGATTTGAAACACAGGTTTGATCAAACAATGACTAAAACACATTGTGTTTTAGCGAGCGTTGCTAGGGAGACCACGTCCGTCGGGTCCACCTGCAATGATAATGAAACTTGGCATGGACAAATAACGGACTGTGATTGGCTGCCGAATGGAAATGATTGTTGAGTTTTTCTTAGGGGCATATAACAGCACTGGAGAACATCCAATGAGAATTCGTTCCCTTCTGCGGGTATTAGAAGAAGAAAATCGAGCAACAAAACCTTTGTCGCTTCTGCTCGATTCTTGTTTTAATCTTGCAGTCTTGGCTTTTTGAATCGCCGACATYATTAGCGTGAAAAGCTAACATGGATAAAGCACAATTGGTAAAGACTGTCGAAAGTTTAAAATTTCAGCTCCAAATTCAGCGGATGCCAGTCTCAAAGTGCTCAGCCGAGTAAGTATGATGTCGATTTGCGATGTTGTTTTTAAGAACATTGAAAGATCGCTAAACCATAGACACCTTGGTYGATGTTTGTCGTACAACATTCGCTGCTCGAAGGCTTCTTATTGTAGGTGTATTGTGGCTTCTATCTTTTCATGTTAGCGATGTTTCAAACCTTTACGCCGAATTAGAACTCATTTTAATATGCTAATGTAAGTTTTTGGTGTGGTGTTTTCTTAAAGCATCATTTCAAAGGGGAAAAATAATGATCTTTACGGAACAATGTTCACTTTCCTTACGGCAAAACACTATTTCGAAAATATTTTTTGGAATTCCTTCATTTTGTCTTTTAATGTCGCCGCAGTTTTCGGCAATTGAAGCGAGGAAAGGTTTTGCTATATGATATTATATAGCATCTGCAAGGATCGGCTTTATTGAACGAATAATTCAATCTCAAAGATTGTCAAATGGTAGTACACTAGTAAAATACAAATTTGTACTGATACAGAATATGCCCTTTTATAAGACATTGGATAGCAATTCTCCAAATTATCAATTTAATTCATGCTATAGTTTTAAACACCTTTACGGCCGAAGGTCAGCGTAATATTTGAATAAGACACCTGAAATTAGTTACTTTTTCGAATACATTTAGGATTTTGAAAATTCAAAATGAAATATCCTTGCGGCGTCCGCGCGTCAAATTTCTAATACACTATGTCGATGGTCTTTGGCGATATGCTTCACCAAAATGAAAAAAAGGAAAAAAAAGAAAAGGAAAAAGAAAAAGGAAGAAAAAACAAACAAACAAAAAAAGAAAGAAAGAAAGAGAGAAAGAAAGAAAGAAAGAAGGCGCGAAATTTAATGTTCGTGAAAGAGATGATTATTTCCGACATCTTTTATTATCTGTCACTGATTCAAATAAAGAAACGATCCTTAACAAATGAGTAATTTTTCACATAGGTTTACGTTTATTGGTACAGGAACTTTGAAATTTATTTTATTATGCAAAACAGACAAGCGGAAGTATCTCTTTTTAAACTGAGATAGCTTTCCAAAAAATCGCTATAGATTTAAATAGAAAACTACTTAAATTGCTCCTCAAAAAAGGTCTATTACGCAATTTATAATTGTATTTTAGTGCCTTGTAGCATGTAATCGAATTCACAAATGGTTTTACCCAGTCACTGACGTCCTTTTATTGATTTGTTTTCAGCTTAAAATTGTACTGCGACCAAATGATTAACTCTGATCCTCTTATAATGCCTCCAGACAAGAAAGAAAACCCCTGGGCCGAAAAATCCAAGTGTACAGTGCTATAATAAATACAAACTTAAATTAACTTGAACATTGTGGGAAAACAACTTAGAAAACTATATTCCAGACATTTTAAACTGACTCGACTGGCTTGACAGAATTGCCTCTATTTGGACTGATTGACCACCTGTACTGAGAAGCAGCACAGCTTATAGCGCAAGTCCAAAAGGCCAATATTCTACTTGATGTAAAATACTGTGTTTATTAAGTACACAGATATACAGTGATTATGTAGATATCTTTAAAAACTGTCAGAATTCATAGTGTTTAGGTTCGATTTAGGTAGATATCTTTAAAGATAGTCCTGGATTTCATATAGAGTCGGCTGAAACGTTTTTGCAACTTGAATATATATGTTACAAAGTTTTTTTCACATATTAATTGTATTTTAGTCTCGTACATTGATTTGTAAACTATAGGGTTTCTACACCAGTATCTTATTTATGGCTCTTTTGCACTTTTAGACAAGCGATTGCGGACATGCAAAAACACCGCATCGAAAATTTATCATGATTGCAGTAGGCAGAATCAATGCCTACTAGGAAGTATCAATCAACCCCATAGATATATATGAGCTGGAGTTAGACAAGGGAATAAAGTCTTACAATATAATGTATGCACAAACTTCAAATAAAAACTGAAACCAAAATTAGAAAGTTGTACATGTTCAAGTCATGATYATGAATGGATCGCAATGTCTGGAGAAACGAATCATAGTCATAACAACGACTTCTCATTTTTGGCAATGTAGTGCTGCTTGAACTGCATCAGTACATATGGCTTTAATATCACATTATATGCAACTTTAGCTCATGTCTTGAGGCAATTTGAAATGGCCTAAGGGATTCAACGAGAAATTCCTACTTTAGTGTACTGTTGTTTTGGAGACTAGACAGGGTTGGACCACCATTTTGTTTTTAATTTGCTTTTAAGTGTCGTTTTTATAATGCACCTTACCATAATAATGCAAAATTAAGCGAGCTTCATTCAATCGGTAATTATCATATAAAGCTTATGCTTATTGAAAGAGTCTATAGAACAGTAACGCGTTACAATCAGTGTTTTAGCTCTGACATTGCTTTCTTCTAGTAGTGTTGTTAAGGTAGAAGCTCCACTAAATTCGCTTGGTTTTTCAGACTGGAACTATGAAGACACAATAGCTAAATGAAACATTGCTATGCTAATTCCGGAAAACTGCAGCCTGAATGAATTTGCCCGTCAAGTGTGATCTTTAATCACAGCAATTAATAAACTCCAAACTCCAACAATGGAAAACATTAAAGCAAATCCAATCTCATTTGAAGGTAATCTTTGTGGAAAAACAAGTGCAACAATCAAGTCATGTCGTGAAGTGGCTCGCCTCAACTCACAAAATGAGCATAGATTAAAAGGAGGTTAAGGCCCTGGTATTAGAACAATCTAGCAGCGCAAAACTAATTTATAATTTATACCAGAAGTACATAACCATGTACTTCTGTTTATACGTATTATCCTGTTAGAACATTAAATACTGAAGTACCACATATACGTTCCGCGCGATATAGGACACATTATTTGCATCCAAGACTAGGAGGATTAGTGGTATCATTGTTTCTAGAATTTGCTTAGATTTACCAGCACATAAAACAACAATCTAGATAATCTACTTAATTGGTAAATATTAAACGGAAAATGAACAGAATGAAAAAGGATTTGCTATTGTTGGGCGTGGTCTGGTATAGGTGGCAAATTAAAAAAACTTAAGGTGTGTGATAGAGTCCGGCACATACACTACCACTAAGTCTGAGATAGAGCGGATTTYGTATGAGTGGGAAACGGACGGTACTGTACGGTGACCGTAATCGTGCTGTAACCAAATTCTAGTGCCCCATTGTTTCACCAAAATTATGCAGGCCAGGTCCGGTAACTGTGCGGTAACGGTGTCCCACTCATACGAAATCCGCTCTATGATTCAACATTCAATTGAAGAGAGAGATAAAACATCTGTGTACATCTTGCGTCGTCTACTTGATTACAGTCCAATGTACTCTCCACAAAGTGACAAAGTATAATCACGCAGACGTTTTTGTGGTCTATGAGTCTTCACGCTTAACGTGGGAAATAGTCAATGGGCCACTTAGATACTTGATATTTGATTATTTGCTTTACTTACAGCCTTTTGCAAAAATTATGAGAATTGTTGAAATATCTAAATAGCATAATATCAAGTACATGATGGGTAATCCCGGGCGATGCTAGTCCCTTGTCTTTGTAGTTTAGTTTTTTTTTTTGGCGACGTACTTATCCGTAGTTCTGAACATTTTCTCGATGTCAACAATGAATTATTCTAGCAAACCCGCGTGTTCCGGACAATATATGGATATGGATATTATGATATTTAGATATTTAGACAATTCTCATAATTTTCGCAAAAGGCTGTATAGTGTTTCGATAGTTAAATATAACGATTCTATCGCAAGGGCTTAGTATTTCAGATGCCAAAGAATTCACTGGGACGACCTGCTATTCACGAACGAAATGTTCAAGCTAGCGAAGTCAATGAGAGCTGCTTTGCTATTTAATCCAACACAGAGGGCCTGAGGTGGCTGTCGTACCAAAAAAATCCGCATATAAAAGTGCAAACCATAATCCGAGTGTCAAAATAGACAAATCCGCCACCGAACGATAACTTCACAGCCGTAAACCGATACAAAAATGACAGCAATGCTGAAAACCGACCTCTAAAATTAGCAGAAACTTGTGAAACCGCAAACCTATAATAGCTGCCCCCCGACGCAGTGCACACGAAACATGAATACACTCCTTTGCGCTGTCACTACACAAGAACACTAAAGCTGTCCATAATTGACCTTCAGATTTTATTATAACTTCGGTGTAATATTTGACAAAAAACACATATAACCTGCATATAGCAAAACGGCTAGTCTAGGCAGGTTAGATGTTAGAAGAACTTAAAAATATTTTACAGTTGAGCAATGACAATGAGCTAGTCAAATAAATAGATCACAATAATACAATAATATTTTGAATATCTTTTAATATCATTTGAGGAGTGCATAATAAATGTAAAATATATATTAATCATTTGAATTATCTTTAGTAAGAACGATCTGTTTTTGTTAGGATTTCTGATTAAAAAATCATTGAATTTCGGTTTATCTACGTGATTTGTGTATAAAATACAGCATAGATGTACGTGTACTAAAGTGCACCACCACTCACCCAAAATACCGACCAAAAAGGTTATCAGTAACTGGCCAAGTGACATTCAGAAGTTGTAAAGTAATCTTAAATGAAAAAAACTACCTATATATAAGTGGCCTGCGTCTACTGTGGTTGATAATATATTATCTAATATTAGAAATGTCCTATAAACTTTTATAACCTACGACAGAAGTTTAGAGTTCTGTCTTTTCTTTCTTAGTGTCCTCTTTCTTGTCGCCATCAGGCGAGTCCTTCTTGTCATTATCATCAGGCAAATCTTCTTCCTTTATTTCATTGCCATTTTCATCATATCCTTTCAAGAGATCTTCTCCATCGTCTGCTTCTCCTTCCTCTGGTTCATCATCGTCATCCTCTGAGCCTCCAGTTTGCGGTTGCGAGGCCATTTGTTGCTTGATTTGCTCTGCAAGTCTTGATGCTGAGTTAGGATCGTTGATGTCCACGTTAAGGCGGTTAATACCATCGTCAGGTTGTTGAGGTTGACCGTTAACATTGACATTCATGTCCTCTTTTTCTTTCTTTGATCGATCGACGCCTTCACAAGCCTTGGTKAGTTCATAGCATATCTTCTTCTCAGGATCAGATTCCTTCCGTGAGAACATTTGCTCGATATCTTCGTCGTAATTTTCTGCACAACAGAAAAAAACAAAATATAATCAAATCTAAAGGATACAAATTAGCAAGTCAAGTGAATGAGTGAATTGGGAAGAATAGAAATGGATGAATGAAATGGACAATGTCCTGAATGGATGTTCAAATGATGGGAACTAGYGGTAAAATTAGTGTGAGCTGCATCGGTGTTTCTAAAGAAACAGTTGTATAAAACGATCAATTTAACATCGTAAAAATAGGTATAACAACTTGCTGACGTTTTGGACTTTATTGCTTCGTCGGAGAGAGACTCGGAGAGAGACGAAGGATAAATGTCCAAAACGTCAATAAGTTGTTTCACCTATTTTTACGGTGTTAAATTATTATTTTTTACACAACTGAATGGATGTTGGGATGATTGTGCAGTACAATGAATACCAAAACAGACAATTGGTGGATTAACATGACTCGATTTTAATAGAATAAAYAAAAGTATCAGAATTGGTGAAAAAAGGAAATGGTTAAAAGATGAATCCTTACCCATAAGATAATTGCATGCCTTAACAGTAGTAGGAGGAGAATACGTATATGATCTGAATGAACTTGCTTTACAAACACTTTCCATTGCTTCAATTACTCTAACATCCCATGGATCTGATGATTTCTTTGCTAGCATATTAGATATTTCTGAAGCCAAGAAAGAAAGAAAGAATAAATTAAGTCCCTTTTAGTACACGCAATGACATCCAAAAACTCCATAAATTAGTTTTATTCTAAATTGATTTTAATCCTTTTGTTACCATTCAATTAAGATGTCTATGTTTATGAGGAGATTTTTATATCCTCAACAAGAAGAATAAACCCCAGTCCAGATAGAAATAATTTGTGACAATTCCAATGCAATATTCTTTAATTGTGTRTCATCAAWCACAATGAAAAATGGACAATTTTGATGCCACAACTGTGAAAAGCTGGCATCTAATAATAATATGTGTATATGCTTATACACTACAGATAATTGTCTGTGGACAAGACGCCACACAATTTGTGGTCATTAACATATTGGTAAATCCTAGAACATTTGCACGGCCATTTGCACAAGAAATAAAAAAAATCAAACATCTGTGGAATTTTCAAATTGACTTATGCTGAGGGAGAAGTAAAAATTGTTTGTGAAGATGTCTTAAGGTGTCTAAAAATTGCCAAAAGTTACAATGTAGGTCACGGGGAGGGAGCACTTAATTTTCTGCAGACCTGCAGGTTCAAGAAGAGGGTTGCTCTGGCCAGGATTGTTGACCAATAATAACTGTTTTGACTTTGTCTTAATTTACCTTTCACAGTAGCACTACAACATTCACAGTAAATGCCTGAAATTTAACAAATTAAAACAATTACAAAAAAATACAGCTTATTTATCATCCACCAATAATGAAGTCAAAGAACTAAGGACTAAGGACAAAAATATTGTAAATAGATATCAAGATAGCTATAATTTTCAAAGGCAGTCTGAACACGTTCTAAACTTTATGTACTTACTAACTTGAAGTGAGAGATGAGTGCTAATGAAATGGGTACTTTAAAGAAAATTAAACTTCTTGAGAAGACTTCAGTTCACTTGTGTTAAGGTTCATTAGGGTTTGACCTTTTAAATTATTCACAATTTTTCATACTTACTGGTATATGGAGTAGGTGATTGAGTTTATTATAAAAATCAAATGTATGTGCTCAGTGTAAAGTTGAATGACTATTTCAGTTTGAAAGGCTTTTGCACTACATTCTCAATTAATGCATGTTATACATATTTTATGCGGTCAATCTAACCTTGTTTCATTCCACTAGGCCTTGCACTTTCACAAGAAATCATAAAAACTTCCATAAACAGAAAAAGTAAAGCTGTTATTCCCATGAAAAAATTCATCCTGAAAAAAGAAAAGCAATACGTTTTTTATGTTTTGTTTAACATTGTAAATTTATCTTAATATTTATGATAGTCTTGTTTGTTTGCTCAGTCACTGGAAAGAAATCAAATGCTCGCCCATATCCTCTTAGCTATTTACTAGTAATATATAATCTCTACTATTATTTACTTGTAGAAAATAATCTCTTACAAGGTTTTTCAGTGTGACTACAAAATTACAATTAAATGTAAACAACAAGAATAACAAGATGTTGCTTTCACACCCACCTGTACTCCCAATTGTTGCAAAACTCTTTGAACCTTATTAATTTTTAACTCAATGAGGTCTGGAAGAAAAAGTCAAATAAAGAAAAACAAGTTACAAACTAGGACTAAGATATCTTATAATATTTCATATCATTCTTTTAGCCGAATTGCGAATTAACACATAAATGTTTTCTCAAAACCAGATGATAAATAAGCTCTAAAGTCGCCGGCGGATCTTAAGTAAGCTAAGTTAACACACAGTTGATTTCAAGAGCAAACAACGATAGCAACTTTTACAAGAGGGGCTGAGAGGAATCGACACCAGCTCTTTGAGTAAAATTTAAAGAAACTAAGCTAAAATAATGTTAAAACGACATCGTCTTGTTTTAATTGTTAAAATATAGTATCTATTTTAGTTGCTAGTCCATTCATTTCATAGTTCCCTGGTTACATCCCAGAAATTGCAGAAAAGATTACAGTAATAATTTGAATGAATTTTGAAAAAAGTCAACAGCATGAAAGCCTGAAAAATKACAGCAGTTACTTACCTTCTTTCCTCTATAAAGTTATAGAAACAATAATAATGAAAAACAGTTCTAGCCCAATAGAATGTTGCCAGCAAGATGGAACAATAAACCTTTTATATTCTGACAAATATTGMCAGGCGTTAGTTTCTATTTCCGAGAGAGACTGTACTCGAAAAACCGCTGATCATAAAAATCGTAAACTAACATCCGGGGATTTGGGTACATTTTTCAGAGGGAAACAAATTCTGTAAATTGAGTTGAAAATGTTATGAAACAACGTTATTTTTCAGTTTTTTTGAAGATCWAAATACTCTATGATAATGGCTGCTACTATTGTGAAGGAAGGAGAGTACACAATAACGATTTATGGCTTGGTATGTAGTCTCTTTGCACGATTTGTTTCGTTGTTTACATCGGTTGCCTGGCAGAGCGATCGATCAAGATGATCGAAAGACAACCATCTTTKTACAATGTAACTTAACTGATTTTTTTTCCTAAGATGTAAGCTTAAAATTAGCCGTCTCTGAAATGGCATATTTATAAGATATCATATTCAGATTATTTTCCTTCTTGTTTTCAAATAACTCTGCTTGTCAAGTTGTGAGCATTATTCACGTCAAGTGCGCATGATATATTAAGCTTATTTTTCTCATATTTCTTCATCCAGTCTACAGCAGATGATGTCAGGCAGGGATGTGTCTTGAAATTAATGCTTCAATTAAGTTATATGTTTTTTCCATGTTTCAAGTGAATTGTGTAGCATAATGTCAGATGGTTGATATTCTTCAGAGTCATCCCCCTCACCCATTCTGGGTGCAGCATATAGCTGCAATTGCATTAATAATTTGAACCAGTCTTTAGTGTTGTGCACAAACCAAATAGCTTTGTTTTGTAGGTCATAACACCAGCAGTTTTGATAGCAATCTATTTATTTGCATATCACATCTAATTCATTAGCAAACCATTGATTGGTGACAATATTATACAATTGTGAGTATAAAAGAAAAACAAGGCGTCAATGTACACTTSATGTGCAGATCTTTTCTTTTATACTCACAATTGTATGATTGTCACCAATCAATGGTTTGCTAATGCATTGTGTGACCAGACTGATTAGACTATTACTAACTATGCTGATCATTATTATTATTTTGTTAGGCAACAATTTGTACATTTAGTTTACCTTTTCAGACAGTTTTAAAATCACTTTAAAGTAGAATTCTTTTTAGCACCAAAAACGTGTTTACGAGTTTTTTAATTACTGATGTATGTGCAGGGTGGTCCCCGATCTGTTCAGGGCTGCACATGTTGATTGCAGCTTGCTTGCTTGTTTACAAGATTATCATAGATCAATGTGTGTGATAATTTGCAGCTAGTTGGAGCGGATTTCGTATGAGTGGGAAATGGACTGTACTGTACGGTGACCGTAATATTGTACTGTAACCAAATTCTAGTGCCCCATTGGTTCAGAATAATTGTGTAGGCCAGGTCCGGTAACTGTGTCCCACTCATACGAAATCCGCTCTAATAACTTTCCACTGATAAGGTTCAGTGTGATAGGTACAAAGTGCATGGTCGGTGACCATGGATGATGGTTGTTGCCTTGTTGCCAGGGATGGAAGTCCTTTGATTTTTTTTCCACAAATGACTTAAATGTTAAATGTAATCATTCCATTGTGTTTAGATAAAAAGTCAAAAGTTTCTTGAAGCTATACAAATTCTCAACAATGAACTGGAAAACCATCCAAAGGTAAGCTCTTCTGATGCTTGAATTATTGAAATATGAATGATCATTAATCAATCAAACTTTCATTCGTCTGTTCAGCCCACCTTTCACTCTCAGTCATCTCTTTGTCTATTCATCTATTTCATTCATTTGTTTATTTATTTCATTTTTTGGSCATCACAGTCCCGAGCTGCGTTATCCTTGCTGGGATATTGCTACTTTCAAATGCAGAACTTTGAAGCTGCGTCAGAATGGTAATCTATTAACAAATCATTTTAATCATGTGACATTGAATGTTTTTAAAGATCAATAGATTTGAGATTATTAAAAATGAATTCAAAGATGAAGATTTCACATAATCAGTCAATCAACACATGTATTGTAATATAAGTATCTTTGTTGATAGACAGTGTCAATTCTTGGGTTTTAATGATCTCAAATTTTCTCAAAATATGAGATTTACAGATCCTTTAAGAGCCTAAAAACTGTATAGTTTGTCAAAAGTCTAGAATTGTAGACTGAGCCTTCATCTTCTCAAATTTCATATTTTTGTTACATCGCATAAAATCCAAGAATAGAGTATTCCTACATGTGTAACTTTTAGCAAACTGAAAAATCCAATTTCACTAGTAAACAGAAAACAAATCCCACTTTGTCAGCTTATATTTGCATTTCCATGGTAACGAGTTCATTTCCATGGCAACAGAAATCATTTCCTTGTTGATAATATCAAACTTAAAACAGCCTAAGTTCCATTCCTTCTAGATTGCTAGTTTTCCTCTTTGCCAGTCTTTTTGGGGATTAGCAAATATTCACCCTTCACACAGCTGAAATGATGGTTGTTAGGTTTATATGTTGTTTTCTAATTGTTGTAGTTATGGCCAGTTAACTCAAATCCATCCTGAAGTTGATGAATACAAACTATACTACGCACAGGTAATGAATTTGATGGTTTTTCATTGTGTAAATCATGTGTGGGCCTTGCTGAATGACCAGTTGTTTGACTGTGAAARTGGTTCTGCATAGTCCATTTTAATCACCAATCATGCTAAATCACAACAAATTCTAATACAATAAAGGTAAGTCTTTGGTCAACCCCTCACAGTCTCCATTTCACTACTTTGGGAAAGGAGAATTCAATTACAACTGGTTTTGTAAAGTGTACAATATTCCACTCATGAATGTAGTGATTTATGTGCTGTGTTATTTTGCAAATAGTATCCATTATGTATTGCAGTCTCTCTACAAAGCATTCATGTATGCTGAAGCAATGAAAGCAACTTTTCAAGTAGAAAATCCTACTTTCCAATACAAGGTATCATCAAAATGCATTACCTAGTAATTACTATTATTGTATGGTAGTATTGCATCTAAGAGTGAGAACACTAGAAACCTGAAAAATACTAACAGAAAAGTACAAATTAAAATAGTATAATTGATATAATGCTGGACACACAAGGTAGGCTGCTGAAACAATGTCTGATGAAGAGGAACAACCCGGCCTAAAGACCAAGTCTTAAAAGGTTTAATGCAGCCAAGCAAGACAAAAGATGATAATCATGATAGTGTAGATTAGACTAACAGAAAGTAAAGGGATTTGCATTCAATGCAGCAACTTTTTTCATGGTTTTAATTATGTTTTTACACACTTTATTACTCTGCTGTAATGCAAGCTACATGCGTCATACTGATTTGACCATCTCAACATTGATCATATTTCTAGATACTTAAACTGCAAGCTGCTATAAAGTATGAAGAAGAAGATTTACAAGGAGCAAAGGTGATTTATGTTTAAAATATATGATAATAATGGACAAACATGGAGTTCAAACTTAAACTCTGCAATTCCAGGTTGGTCACATGCATGATTGACCTTTAGCTATAGAGTATAAATGGCTATAGAGTATAAATGGCTATAGAGTATAAAGTGTTAACAGCATGTGGCCATGTAGTGTTTTGTACTTTATTGGGTCTGATTTGACATGTGAGGCTCATTGACCTGTTCATGCAAATAAGTTAATAACGTTCCTTTTTCCTTTTTTTTCTTACAGAGTATGGTAGAGCAGTGCTCCTCAGACGATCCTGATACAGAAGTGAATCTTGGCTGCCTGTTGTTTAAGGTGTGTTAAAAGATTAAGGAATTAGCACTCATAGCTCACGCACTGGCTGAAATGACATCCATTGTCTTGTATTTCAGGAGAAGCAGTACTACGATGCATGTCATAAGTTTCAGACAGCAATGAATATTCTGGGATATCAACCAGGTAATCTTTATTGTCACAAGTGACCTGTTGACCTGTGATGTCATCATCATTGTTATTGCTGAAATTGTAAGTTATAATTGTATTGTGGATATTAGATATCTTATTTGATAATGATGAAAACACTTATAGTAAACATTATAATAGTAAATATAGGGAAGTACCCCCCCTCCCCCCCCTCCCCCAAACATGAAAGTGATAGAACACTGAACTATATTAACAGAAAAGATCAATGCTCACCTTGCTCAATGCAAACAAAGCTTTTTGTCTSTGGTCACTGTGTGTATGTTGTCTTACCATTGATTGTTTTGAAATGTGGTCTGTTTGTGCTACATGTATTTTCCCTTCAATTTAAGATGTTTTAATTATTTTTCAGATTTGTCATACAGCATTGCGTTATGTTACTATCATCTCAAGCAATATGCACCAGCACTTAARCACATTGCTGATATCATAGAGAGGGGCATCAGAGAACATCCAGGTCAGCAGTGTTTTGCATCAACAAATTATCTTAGTTTCTCTTGAGATTTTATCACGACATGTAGATCACTGAAAATTTAATTGAATTCAGCAATATTTGACCATTTCAGAATTAAGTGTTGGCATGACAACAGAAGGAATTGAAGTTAGAAGTGTGGGGAACACAAAGGTATGGAATTAAAATCATAATTATCAACATTAGTAATTATTATTGACAGTAATGTATTGATACCACAATTATAAATGTGTTGATTAATAAGCATGGCATACTATCTACCTGGTACATAACGATGATTGGTAATGATTATAAATATTATGACCTTGAATAAGTGTTATTCTGTGTTTAGGTCTTGCATCAAACAGCTCTAATTGAGGCCTTCAACCTGAAAGCTGCCATTGAATATCAACTGAAAAACTGTAAGTTTTCTATAATAATTATATGCACTAGACAGCTGTGTTACTATGTGATATAGAAATGAAAGAAAGTTATAGTGCTTAGAAGGAGGCAATTCCGGGAGAAGTCCCTTAGGAATAAATTCGGAAAAAATTTTTCCGAATTTATTCCTAAGGGACTTCTCCCGGAATTGCCTCCTTCTAAGCACTATAACTTTCTTTCATTTCTATATCATGTTTCTCCTAGTGCCATGCGGTCTTCATATTCATGTGTTACTATGTGTTTCTTAAGGCTGATTTACATGGTACGATTTGTCGCGCGCGACTTGTAGTATACGATTTTCCTACTACAAGTCGTAGGATTTTAAGCAGTGGTTCAAAACCCTACTACAAGTCGTAGGTTGCGTACGACTGTTGTAGACAAGTCGTAGGGGCATTTACACTGCGCGATTCAAGTCGTATACTACAAGTCACGCGCGACAAATCGTACCGTGTGAATCAGCCTTTACATTTATCTTACTTTTTTATTTCAGTTGAAGCTGCTCAGGAAGCCTTGACTGACATGCCRCCAAGATCAGAAGAGGTACATTTTTTACATTATTTTTTTAAGGGGAAGTGACATGACTGTATGAACAAAAGGATTTTTCCTGGTAATACTATTGTAATTTTTTGTCATATGGTTCCTTAAATTGAATGTGAAATTTGCATTTACCTTTCAAGATTAATGCTCTGTGTGTTGTTGTTATATTAGGAGCTTGATCCTGTGACCCTACATAACCAAGCATTGATGAATATGGAATCACAACCAACTCAGGTATTTAACATTGTTGCTACAGTATAATATGATGATATTGCCTTGCAAGCTGCATGTAACAACTTACTAATTCCTTTTAACTAAAAGTAATGACTAATTTCTTTTCCCTTATTGTTGATGTTTTTTTTAACTGTCATGCATTTTGATTTTTTTTAGGGTTTTGAGAAACTTCAATTCCTGTTGCAACAGAATCCTTTCCCACCAGGTAATACTTTATTTTAATTAGCATTATTGATGTTTTGGGTAAAACAAGCTACATTGTACATGTACTATGTAAAGTAGACTATTATTCGATTRAAATTATAAAAAAGTTTTATATATAGCTGGCGTTCTTTTAAGAATAAAAAAAATATTTTATTTAAAAATAAAAGCTATATAGATGCATTACATTGCATAATACATTTTTCTCTTTTTGTTTTATAGAAACATTTGGAAATTTGCTGCTTTTGTATGCTAAATATCAGGTACGAAYATAGGGAGGGTACTGTAGAAGACATTATTTACTAACAGTGCAGATTATTGATTTATAATTCCATATGGTGTTGCTTATAAAAGCAATTAATATTATAAAGTTCTATTCCTATTCTATCTGCAATACTCACCATTAGTTTGAAACTTTATCAGTTTTGTGATACATGATGTGCACTGTACTAAGTAGCACATGAAACATTAGAAAAAACAAGACTTGATAATGTTGGCAAGTGCTTAACGGGCTGTATGTGTCTTGTGGTTATGGTTTGCTGTTTAAATTGTTTTTTTGTATTGTTTTTAATTTTTTGTATATGATGGTKTTTTTCCAGTATTATGACTTGGCTGCTGATGTCCTTGCAGAGAATGCTCAGCTTACATACAAATATCTACAACCAGTAAGTGCACAGCGTGTTGTATTGGAATATTACTAGCTACTTCCTTCAGTCAGCACATMAATGAAGGAATGGAACTGATGTTAAGCTGATTAAATCAGAATGAATTGTAGTAAAAGGTTGCACAGAATAGTAGTGGATGGGATGAATTCTTGGAGGGGATTTAGTGTTATTTTTAGAACCAAGTCTTTATTTTAATCAATATTTTCATTTTAGTATATGTACGACTTTCTTGATGCTACTATAACACAACAAACATCACCTGAGGAGGTAAGAATACACTAAATACAAATATGGTATATATTATAGATTATCGTATGGTCAGATACTGTCATATAGTAGATTTCAACGATGGTGGTTATGATGTACAGTGTATTSTTGGGGTAAACTACTGTTTCAACAATAATATAAAAGTGCAAGGGTTTCACATCTCCTAAAGGGCAAGAAAGGCTACTAAAGAGATCATTTCCTTTGATTTAATCCTTAATTCCCCCTCCTCCCAATGGATGATGCTGTTAAAGAAGATTTCTTTTTAAATTCCCTGGCCTTCCTGGGCATTGGTGGCTGGAGTTTCAAGTAACAAATACACACATGGATGTGTAATGCTGTGCTTATGACTACTTGGTACAATTTTGATTTACACATTTGTAACAGGCTTACAGAAAGTTTGATGACATGGCTACCAAGCAAACAGAAACATTAAGAAAATTGACAAAGCAGGTATAATATTATATCAAACCAGACAGACATACAGGTGGTTGAACAGACAGACAGAAAGAGTAATACACTAAAAGCAAACAATTAGGCAGCTAATGAGTAAATAAAGAAGGAAAAAGCCTCTCTCTGTAGGGTTAGCTATCCAAAGTATGCATAATGAATCTACTACATATGACTTTAGCAGTAGTCCACAGCTGGTTTCCAATAATTTTTCATTTGAGTTTTTGAGAAATGCTATTTAAGTGTGTTATTTGTTTCACTAAGGTTCAAGAAGCGAGACAAAACCATGATGATGACACTGTCAAGAAAGCTGTTAATGAGTATGACGATGCTCTTGAGAGGTGATTAATAGTTGTGGTATTATAACGAGGTACAATTAGACAGTGTGTTTGATAACTGTCTTGCCTGTCTCTAGATACATACCAGTATTGATGGCTCAAGCTAAAATCTATTGGGATCTGGAAAATTATAGTCAAGTGGAGAAGGTACTAATTGATAACATTATTCTTTTATTGACACTCCCAGGCACTGTCCAAAACACTTGGTTCACACTAGTGACAGAAAGCAACAGTGTAAAAGATAATACCATTAATAAGTTAATGTTGCTTTATATTTTCAACACCTTGAAATACATTAATATTATTCTATTTATTCTATTTTCAGATATTTAGAAAATCAGTTGAGTTCTGTAATGAGCATGAGCTATGGAAGCTTAATGTAGCACATGTGCTGTTTATGCAGGTAATGATTAAAGACAGTAACTTGAAATCCTGACTGTGGAGTTTTACTTTAGACCCTTCAGACAGGTGGAGTTTAGCAAAATGTGACTGTTGAAGAGTGATAGTGAAAAAAACATTTAAGCTTAATTAGACGGGGTAAAAAAATTGCAAAATGTTATTTCTTTGTATGTCCTCTTATTGACACACTTTTGATGTCGTTTACAATTTAACTTGCTAATGAGATTTGCTTAGGTCCTTTGTTTTCCTTCTTTCGAAGCCTTTAAATTAAAAAATGAATATTGAAAAAATGAATATAAAATAAAAAGTATTCTTGAATTGGCATTAGAAATATTATAATTCTTTTTTGTTCTATTAGGAAAACAAATATAAAGAAGCAATTGGTTTTTATGAACCAATAGTGAAAAAACATTATGATAATGTAAGTATAACCTTGTTTGCTGATTCGTCAAAATGATAATCTATAATCATGTGACTGATAAGAATTGTTTTTATTTTCATTGATAGATACTAAGTGTTAGTGCTATTGTTCTGGCTAATTTGTGCGTCTCCTACATATTAACAAGCGCCAACGAAGAGGTATAGAAGTTTTTCCTTACTTTTCCCATGTCTTCCAAGTTCCTTCTTTTATTTGTTTTTCGCTGTTCCTTGAAATCTGTTAATTCCTTCCTTTAATTTCATGTTTGCCAAAAGCTAATAAAGTAAATTCCTTTTCCAGGCCGAGGAAATTATGAGAAAGATTGAAAAAGAAGAGGTATTACAGTATTTTTTATTAGCCAAGTTTCGGTCTCTTCAAACTGTGACATTCTTCATCTTTTTTTAACAGGAACAGGTCGCATACGATGACCCTGAGAAAAAGATTTTCCAYCTCTGCATTGTAAACCTTGTACTAGGGTAAATATCATGGACCATGAAAGCAATTGTTAGCTACTGTTGTAAACTTTTATTATTTTACATGCTAGGACGTTGTACAGTGCAAAGGGTAACTATGAGTTCGGAATATCAAGAATCATGAAGAGTTTAGAGCCGTATAATAAAAAGGTAATCTGACCGCTGTGCAATACGCTATTTCCCTAGGCACACTAAAAATATTGAATGATAAAATACTAAAACAAGCCCATATCCCGTATTTTCAGCTCTTCTAACTTAATGTAAATTCTCTATCTTAACCTTGACAATGATGACAAGATGTCATCGAAACGTCGGTTTCTAGCGTATATTGAATATTTCATTTATTGATGTTTTCCTTGCAGCTCGGTACTGATACCTGGTTTTATACCAAACGATGCTTCTTATCACTCATTGAAAACATGGTAAGCACTATATCCCCTCCCCCTATAGACGAGAACATACCTATCCCACTCCCTCCCCCTACAGACAAGAAAACAACTATTCCGCCCCCTCCCCCTACAAACGAGAACATACCTATTCCACTCCCTCCCCCTACAGACAAGAAAACAACTATCCCGCCCCCTCCCCCTACAGACAAGAAAACAACAATCGCACCCCTCCTCCAACAAACGCGAATACATCTATCCCACCGATTATAGTGATTAGTTTATGATATTGTTCCTACAGGCCAAGCACATGATAATGTTRCGTGACAGCGTGGTCCAGGAAATCATACAGTTTCTAGAACACTGTGAAAGTATGTTTCAAATTCGTTGTCTTTCATTGAACCTCGTACCTACTGTACCTGTACGTACCGCCATTTGCTTTGTACCGTTACAATGAATGGAAAACATGCGAAATAGAGAGCCAAATAAACTGTAAAGAAGATGAAAGAGTGGATAAAAATGTTAAGAAATGTTTTGTGTTTTTTTGTGTGAAGTATTTTTTGTAATGTCTGAATTTTATCGTGGTATATATATAATATGACATCAATCATGTGTATTTGCAGTGTATGGAAAGAATGTCCCTACTGTAATTGAACAACCACTAGAGGAAGAGCACTTGCATCCTGGCAAAAATACAGTCACATATGAAGCACGGTTACTGAAGAGTCTGTTTCTGAGGCTTATTTGATAYGCAGGCYTATTAACCATACCATAGATCAGCAACATTATGCATCACGAGAAGATCTGGGATGAAAAGGCCCAACACAGYGACCAAACTGYACATGCKTATCATATGAGCCATTTAACCATATCTCCGAAAATAAGAAAAAGAACGACAGAAAAAACGGCTTTATACTTCCATATGTTGTAGTGGTGGCCAAGGACTACATAACATTCTTACAAAACTGTATCAATGAAATTGTTGTGACTTCTGTAGCTATGGCAATTATATTGTATCAATTTTTATTAGATGGTTCTCAATCAATACCCGTCAATAATCGTGGTAATTTTAAACCGTTCGCTTGTCATTCTCTATACAGAAAACTTCTTATAATTTGAGGTAAAGTAGACATTTTCCTGTCATATCAGTAGCGCATGTACAGTCATTTGGCCGCGGTGTTGAGACGAGAGGAACTAGTGGTGTTATTAAGAGGGGRATGTAGAAAAATGGCGTCATTCTTGCAAGTCCCTGATGTATTTGTGAATAATTTATTGAATTATTGTAATAAAGGTGTATTATTGAGATCGTTTGTTATTCTAGTTGATTAGCTAGTCTTCAAGTAGTTGCATGAATAAACAAACTATTTGATAGCTAAACAAAAGTTAAATGGACCGTCCCTAAACTTTAGTCCTTAAGTAGAGCAATTTTATTTAATCCGTGAAATAAAAACTAAATAGTTATTAAAAATTAGTCACTATTTTGTAGTTAAATAGATGATCTTGCTCACAAGAAATCAACCCCCCCCCCATCAAAAGTTAAATGGACCGTCCCTTAGTATTGTATGTGTGTGCTCGTCCAGCACTTGCTCGTCCATCAAAGCGATGATGACCATGATTTCCCACTATGACGTTAATTAGTTGCGGTGTTTCCCGAGATGGCTGGTGAGTCCAATCCRGGCACTGAAGTAGCGACCAAAATGGTGGCACTTGAAGTCGCTCTCTGTTGTAGTTGAGGTGCTGGCTAACCTGGCTTTCCTGATGGACTTTTTTTTCCTGGAACAGTCTTATATAAGTAACAATACATTCTGTACACTTGGGAAATCAAATACAAAGGAAACAATACCTCATTACAACTGTTCCAGTAGAGTGATAGCAACTAATAGTCACTAAATCACTATCTAACTRTTAGATAGATAGTAGCTATTTAGATTTTATTTCATGGACACAGTGTAAGCACTTAACTCGTATTACTTGCATTTTTAGAAACCCCTACATTGGGCTGATTTTATTTAAAAACCTGAAGTGATTTAATTAAACTGTCACTCAGACTGACGTTTCTCTTACTAGTATATTCAAAGGATACCAGAGTCTTACGAAAGTGGGCGTGGCAACATAACATTTCTACCTCTGGAAGAAACCATCTAAAAATGAACAAATCTCTGTAGAGACACACTATGAACTTCAAACACCTTCTGCTAGAAAGGTTTACCGTAGCATCTGGTAGCCATTGTCGTAGTCATTCTCATATCTGAAGATCTCCTTAACTATATCATCCAAAACTTTTAAAACACTCTTGATAAAAGATACCAGATCCGCAGTTCGGCAGTCCAATTATGCTCTCTAAGCTGTTGGGCTTTTTTTAGAATGGCAGGCTGCGGTAGACTATATATTACAATTTCTCTGTGAGCGGTATTGTATATTAAAATCTAGATGTAACGAAAACGCAAGTGGACTGGAGGATACTCGATCAGGTACATCGATTGCGTGACTTGTCTCATCAGTCTCCAAGGAAAAGAAAGAGATCCAACTTTGGTTTATCAAAAACGTAAGCCGAAATTCTCTATTATATAGGAACTATCTTAGATTATCTTATTTTCTATGCATTTTTGAAAGCTACGACTAACAAACCATTGCGGTGTCTGTCTGCATCAACATTTATAATAGCAACATATAATGCTTCTGTTCCTTTCACAGTATTCAAAATGGCCGCTCAACTTGCTCGTTTTACCAGGTTTAGCTCAGGTTTGTGCAACTGCAGTGATTGTTCAGTACCAGTTTCTTCTTTTTGACGCTTTCCTTGAATGGTGGGCGTGAAGTAATTGTAATTATAGTGAATTGCTAATAAAAAGGTGTTGATCTCATTGTCACTATGAACACCTCTCTCTTATTGTAATGCACATCAATCTCCTCACTAAAATGCTAAAATCAATTCTTTCAGCTCGCTTTCTTTCGGCTTTCCGTCCGTTTGGCAAGTTTATGACACCTTTTGGAAGCGTAGTCGGAAACCAGGTCCGACATAACAGCATCGAAGTGCAACACAAGGACAACGGCATAGCTGAATTGACCATGAACCACCAACCATCGAACTCATGGAGCTTAGAGTTTCTTGAGGAATTTTGCGTGGTGTTGGAGGACTTAGAATACGACCGGGACTGTCGTGGCCTCATCATTACCTCGGTATGACTTATTTGCTGTAGAAAAAGTACCTGCACMACGTACTACACCAACATACAACTCACTAAATTTGCRTAAACCTCATGAAGATCTAAACTGCAACGATACTGTCCCATAATCCCAGTTTGCCCTATTGAAAAAATATGAACAAAAGTATGAAGATTTTTTACTTTGAAATTAAATATTAAGGGACTGTTCATAAAATATGCCTCAGGGTGGTCTGGAGGAAAAGTCAAAAAAAAACTTGGGAAAATTCGCAGCCCCCCTTACTCTATCACAATATTTTTTCGACCCCACTCCTTCTGACATTGAGGAAAAAATAGCCCCCCCTATGTATAAAGCAATGTAAAATAGCTAATCTTAAAAATATAAAAGGAGTCACAAAAAAAGTGAATGCTTATGTAAATAAACCTCTATAAAAAAGAAAGTAAAGTTGTTGTTTAAAATGATCATTGATAAAAAATGTATAAAAATAAAAAAAACATTGATATTATATATTATACATACTTTAATTTTGTGTTTCAATCGCCCCCCCTCAACTCAACAAATGCCATTTAAGCCCCTCCTTCATTGTCTGTTTATTTTTCAAAGCCCCGCCTACTTTTCCTCCAGCCTTTATTCAGGAACACATCCAAGGGGGGAGGGTTGCCTATACCCCACTTTTAGGAAAGTCCAAGTTAAATACCTATAGAAATACATACTTATTCATATGACCTGCATAATGGGACCCWTAATCCAGACAGAGCAACACAAAATTTCTAGTTTGCCCCCCACCCTACCTCTGTAGGGTGTTTTCTACTTCTTGTTCATACTTCGAGCACAGGCTGGTAAYATTTAAAATCAAGTCAGAGTCAAGTGTTATATTTTGGTTCATATTTCAGGGTTTACCAACAGTATTCTCATATGGACTTGACATAAATGAGTACTATAAAGCCAATAAAGAGAGACTCMGAGTGTTTCGTCGTAGGTACCAGGAATTCTGGTTGCGTCTATATGGTTCTCGTCTTGCTACTATTGCAGCTATCAATGTAGGTCACAACAAGTATTTTATATGGTATTGACCAGAACATGTGTGTACTTGCTACCAAGTTGTCACTAATCAAATGGCATCTTGTCAAGTCTCCTTTCATTCATGCAATTTTTTGCCCCTTTTCGCTTTTGAAAGTTGGGTTGAGAGTAGGGTTCACAGTCTGAATAATTAAAAAAACACATAAATGATCAGTTATGAAATAATTTCCACAAAACAATATTAARTGTTATAACTCACATTTTACTTTGTGCGTCTACCAGGGTAATAGTCCAGGAGGTGGGTGTCTCATTGCTTTGTCATGTGACTATCGTATCATGGCTCCAGGGTACAAGATTGGTTACAATGAAGTCAAAGGGGTGAGTATATAAAACCATTAGTAATATGGGGTYGACCATTATAAAAATGATTGCAAATTAGGGTTAGAGAGGCTGATATAYATTTTTTAAAGAAATATGATAACAGAATAGCATTTTTTTCTGCTTTTACCATATCCCTCCATCACGTTATTGACSCTTAAATGAACCCTATCAGGACTACAACAGCAGTGGCTCCTACGGGTTGCGCACACYCWCCTTTGATATCACACCCTTAATATATCCTCCCCCTGCGRAAATCTGCCCTTGTACAATTGGTACTTTCCTGTATTTTCTTGGCGGGGGGAGGGGGGTTAGGATATAGTTTTAAAACWTGTTCACATGTTGAAATCACTTTGCTTTTTATTTCTACAGGGACTAATAGCTCCAAGTTGGTAAGTTATGTTTCAGTCAATGTACAAAYACATTAACACATTATAGCTTGGGATTTGACATTGTTTAAACACCTACATTAAGATGGAGAACTAACTTCTAAATTTTTGCCTCTAAGAGCTGGAAATGCTGAAACTGTAACACCGACTGATATGTTAATTCCACCACTATTGCACTGAGGTGGTGGTGGTGGGGGGGGGGGGGGGGGGGGGATGGTTTTAATTGAGCAGATACATTACAGTTGATATGTCGATCACATATTAATAAAAAACATTACCAAACATCCCAGTTAAATGTGAACTATGATAACAGGGTCTGCTGTAAATGTTTATTGTAGTTCAAGACAAATATGTGCACATAACTTTAGATGCTTTCAACATTTAAATCTAAAAGAGTCAMTTTGCAATCATAGAGAGCTAAAATTAAATCTAATATCTTTATTGAATCATCTGTAAATATTAAAGTGTACTAGGAATACATGTGACCCTAGTGATACAATATCATAAGATTATAAAAAAAATAAACAACTGGGCAGGAATAATGGAAATGTTTTTTTACACCAGGTTTATTGATACAATGTCTTCTGTGGTTGGACAACAAATTGCAGAGCGTTCAGTTCAAGTTGGATTGATGTTTAATAGTGAGGATGCACTAAGAGCAGGAATGGTTGACCAGGTTGTACCACTAGAGGAAATCAATGCAGCAGCTCATGAAGTCATGAACTTTTGGCTGTCTGTGCCAGGTGGGTACATTTGATAATAATTGTTTAAAWTATTTATTATCATTGACCATTCCAAAATTCAAAAGGAGACTGGGAAAAAGTGTGAAAATTAGATAGATACCTGTGAATACTTGTCTGCAGGTGTGAAAGAAGGTTTCTATCATTGCAYGCTCAACGGTCGTCTTGCTTCGATGAAACGGCACGGCTACCTTTCAAGATGGCGCAGGGRACCGTGAAGAAGACCATTATAATTATATAAAAAGAAATTCTACCTTTATTTCAGATAATGTGAGAGCTAAAGCAAAGACCATGATGCGACGAAAAAACATTGAAAAACTTGAAATGAGTAGAGAGGAAGACATAAGGGATTTCATTTCAAGAGTGCAGAAAGATTACACACAAGAAGCTATAGAAAAACTACTGAAAAAGCGAAAGGAAAGGGGACATGATACGCCATTTATCTGGGGAGAAGATTAGATAAATGAATATTTTCAATAACAAAGTGTTTTGGTAGAATAGATTATGTCAATAATTTAGGACTGGTTCAATTTAAATAGATCTTATTAACAAATTGCTTTTAGAAAACAGACAAGAATGTATAATCTTCTGYAATCAATAAACAAAGGGATGTCAAAGTTTATGTTAAACTGAAACTTTGAATTAAAACATGCATAGTAATTTCCACCAAAAGTTAGATTAATTTATTATTTAAGTCATAAAATATAAGAGGGAGACCTTTGTGGTCATATAAAATTACCACAGCTGCAGACAAGCAGTTTTAAAGCCCCCAAAAGGTTGSATGCAAATATTTGATCAAATTTGAGCATAACTTTTAAAAGCATATTTTGCTAGTTAAAGTTAAAGTACTATGCAAATAAAGACAAATCTCTTGCTCATACAAAGATTCAGTCATGGCAATGAATCCATTGTGTTAACCTAATGAATTTTTAGCAGAATWATATATTATGATATATGTTACACCTTTTTCTAAAGATTTCTAAACTAACTATGACATTCACATGCAATACAATTCTTGATGTATTAGAATTTTTATAATAAACATGTAAAATATATAATATAATATTATTTTTAAATATTTTGAAACTACAATTGTTCAGGGCCATGTTAATTCTAGTTGACTACCTTACTAATCAGTATCTCACTGTCACTGACATTACCCATAAGGCTCCAAGAGCAGCACACAGTAATGTTACTATGGTGATGATTGCCCTATGATTGACATCACCCACTGGAACTGTCAAAGAAATATCTGGTAATTCCTAAAAAATACGCATTTATAAATACACATAAAAGGAGGTAAACTGTAGTTTGTTACAGAAAAAAAAAAAATGGTTTCACAAGCTACAATAAAAAGACATGAAATTTGGGAAGGGTGCATACTGCAAATTCCTTAGATTCTTAGACCTTAAATTTCAATGTGCTATTTCATTAGCAACTTGTCTTGMAGTTGCATTGCCACATGCCCTTATAATGTAGAGTATGTTAGTCAACATTGCTGCTGGAGAGACGATACATAGTCTCCTCTCGCAGCCGTTAGGACGTTTGTTACCAGGTCAGGGGGGGAGTGACCTGGGAACGAACATCCTAACGTCTGAGAGAGGAGACTAGACGATACACTGAGGGAAAAGTAAATGAGAGTGTAATGCAACAACTAAAATTGCAAGATTAAAACCCCTGGTACACTGAWTGTGCAAGACAAGTTGCTGAGAAACTTGCACAGTATCACACCATCAATATTTTGGTATCACATGATTAGGATGTAATTCAAGATAACAACAGTAGATAATTTATTATCAAATGGCTGTCTATAAAGCCTTCGGAGTCAATATTTCAACCATAATTGATTATTTCCACTTAACTCAGCCAATTATAGATTATTATATCTATAATATAAAAAAAACAATTGTTAGCTCTCACCTGTTCAATGTCTATCCAATCACATAAATGTTCTCCAGTAMCAGCTGGAAGACATGATGTCTGGACTATCTGGCAAGTATCTTGTACAGTTTTCCCTAAAGATCATTGTATAAAGGTTAATATTGTCTTCCTGGTCAATAATAGTGTACATAGTTTGACAGTAATGATGACATCATCTGATGATTAAACTTACCGTCACACTTTACCAGTATTCTTGGTGCTGCTAGGGTTACTGTCTGTGATGTTTGGCCAGTTAGTGGTGCTTTATGGTATCTTATATGGACTGGTAATATTACTGACACACTATGATGGTCCTTCCTGGCAATACATAATCAACAATTATCAATAAGTTGATAATTAATAAATGTGCTTGACAGATGGATAGTGAATGCATCTGCCAGCATATTTTTAATGTTAATTCCTAAGAGTTCTAGATYATTACATGCGCTACCTTACAGAAGTATATTGCTGCGSAGATGGATATATCCATAAATCTTGTGCCACAGCTTTATGAGCAGGTGCTTCAACATCTACCTTGGAAGAACTTCTTATCTATTGGTTGCAAATATGAATTTGGTAAAACAAAGGCACAAGGACAGTAGAAAACATCATAATAACAATAACATAAAAACATTTTAAAAACCACTGGTCCTGATACCGTATGTAACTGTTGCCATGATAACTTGCAATAATGGAATATTACTTTTGGTTAAAATACATTGTATTTTAATGTCTCTGACAATTATAAGTGTAACAATAATTGCTACATAATATAATGTATTATTATGTTGTTATTTGTAGATACATGTACAAAAACATTCCATATTTACCTTGAATTGTTTATCATAAGTCTTCACTTGCTCTAAATCTACAAATAAACCCCTGGGCATTGATTCATGTAGCAGTAGGCTACAATTATCCATCGTCATCCATTCCATGTCTGTTATTAGATCCCTGAAAATATCAACATTTTAACATTCATTAATAATATGTGTCATGATTTTAATAGTTAATCCTAAAGCAGGAAAAACCATATCTTGAATAATTTGAGATAGGGTGCTGTTAGTTTCTTATTCAATAAGAAAGCACCCATCAATATCTCAGGATTGACACTG